ACCTAAATAAATAGAAAGACTTTGTGTTTATGGATTAGAAGATTTAATTAAGATGTTAACACTAAAAGTGATCTACAGATTCAACAGAAGCCCTATCAAAATTTCAGTGACCTTTTAGCAGAAAGAGAAAAGACAATACTCAAATTTATCTGGAATTGCAAGCGACCCTGAATAGCCATCAGAAATGTTCTTGAAAAAGAACAAAATTGGAGGATTTATACTTCACAATTTTAAAACTTGTTACAGGGCTACAGTAATCAAAACTGATACTGACATGGAATATAATTAACCGTTTGCACTCAGATGTCCCCTCTGAGGGTACATCATAAATCTAGCAAACCACTCAGATGTCCCCTCTCAGAGATTGCTGGTGATTATACAGGACAAACTTATGCCAGTACAAATTTTTCAAAAGTGTATGTTTCCTTGAAGTTTTCTATTCAAATTGCACAAAACAAAAAAATGGAATATGTAGTGAGATATACATAAGAAAATATTAACCGTTGTTATGCAGAAAAAGAATTGTTTTCGAACAACAGACTGGACAATAAATTACATATTGTTTATATGGAAGGAGGAAAATGAAACTGCCTTGTTGGCTCAAATAGAAAAACACCAGGTGGAAGACATAAAACAAATTACTGTTGCACAACATGTATCAGTGAACCTGCTCTACAGGTTGGTGACTGTTTTACATGTTACCACACATTAGAAGAATATAAGATATAAAACTTTAATTTTTTTGTCATAAATAAGTTCCTCAATGTCCAGAATTCCATTATAAATCAAACGTTACAATAAAATAATTGGTTCTAACACTATACTATTTGATATAAAGTGATTCGTTTTTCACTATTCTGTAAAAAAGTGTGGTCGAGTTGCTGGTGGGTGATCCACGAGATGTCTTTGAGTGCAAAGGGTTAATAATCCAGGATCTAGACAGGGCTTGATGGCACACACCTGTAATCCCAGCTCTTTGGAAGGTGGAGGTGAGATGATTGCTTGAGTCCAGGGGTTCGAGACCAGCCTGGGCAACATGGTGAGACCTCGTCTCTACAGTAAATCAAAAAATTAACTGGGCATGGTGGTGCACGCCTGTAGTTCCAGCTGCTTGGAAGGCCAAGGTGAAAGGATCACCTGAGTCCAGCAGGTGGAAGCTGCAGTGGCCATGAGCGTACCACTACACTCCAGCCTGGGTGACAGTGAGATTCTGACTCCAAAAAAAGAAAAGAATCCAGAAATAAATCCATACATTTATGACAAATTGATTTCAACAAGGGTGCCGTGACCATTCAATGGTAAAAGAGTAGTCTTTCCAACAAACAGTGCTGGGATAGCTGAATTTTCACATGCAAAAGAATGAAGTTGTACCCCTGCCTTATATTAGGTATAAAAATTAACTCAAAATGGATCAACAAACTGAATATAAGAGCTAAAACCATGAAGCTTTCAGAAAAGCCATAGGGATAAGTCTTTGTGACCTTTGATTTGGTATTGGATTCTTAAATACGATACCAAAAGCTCAAGCAACAAAGAAAAAGGAGATAAATTGGAGTTAATAAAAATTTTAAACTTTTATGCATCCAAGTACGGTATTGAGAAAGTGAAAAGACAACCGACAGAACAGGCGAAAATATTTGCAAATCCTAAGTCAGATAAGGATTTATAACCAGGATATAGAAAGTACTCCTACAATTCAACAGCAAAGACAGCCAAGCATGGTGGTATGTGCCTGTATTCCCAGCTACTCAGGAGGCTGAGGTAGGAGGATCTAGGCCGGCCTTGGCAACATAGCTAGACCCTCTCTCTAAAAACAAAAAAGAGCAAACAGCTCAATAAAAAAATGGATAAAGGATCTGAATAGACATTTTGCAAAGAAGATTGAGAATCACATGAAAAGATCCTCAGGCTGGGCACAGTGGCACAGCCTGTAATCCCAGCATTTTGGGAGACTGAGGCAAGAGGATTTCCTGAGCCCAGGGGTTCGAGATCAGCCTTGGGCAACTTGGTGAGGCCTCGTCTCTACAATTATAAAAAAAAAATTAATCAGGTGTGGTAGCACGTGCCTGTAGTTCCAGCTACTTGGAAGGCTGAGGCAGAAGGATCGCCGGAGCCCAGCAGGTCAAGGCTACGGTGGCCGGGAGTGGCCACTGCACTCCAGTCTGGGCGACAGAGTGAGACTCCAACTCAAAATAAAATAAAATAAAATAAAATAAAATGCAAATGGAAAGGCCAGGCAAGGTGGCTCAAGCCTGTAATCCCAGCACTTTGGGAGGCCGAGGTGAGAGTATTGTCTGAGCCCAGAGGTTTGAGACCAACCCGGGCAACTGGGCAACTTGGTGAGACCTCATCTCTACAATAAAAAAAGAAAGAAAAAATTAGCCGGGCATGGTAGCGCATGCCTGTAGTTCCAGCTACTTGGAAGGCTGAGGAGGAAGGATCGCCGAAGCCCAGCAGGTTGACTCTGAGGTGGCCATGAGCATGCCACTGCACTCTAGCTTGGGCAGCGGAGTGAGATCCAACTCAAAAAAAAAAACAAAGACATCATTCATCATTATAGAAATGCAAATCAAAACCTCAGTGAGGTATTGCTTCACACCAAGTAGGATGACTTTGAAAAACAAGGAAAATAGCACGTGTTGGCAAGGATGTGGAGAAGCTGGAACCCCTATACATGGCTGGTAGAAATCTAAAATGTTTCAGCCACTATAAAAAACAATTTAGTAGCTTCTCAAAAAGCTAAACATAGAATTAACATGGGACCTTGCAGTTCTACCCCCAAGTTTATATCCAAAAGAACTGAAAACAAGGTACCCAAACAAGTATATGTACACACATGTTCATAGTAGCATTATTAACTGTAGCTGGAAGGTGGAAACAGCTCAAATGTTCAGCAGGTAAATGGATAAACAAATTGTGGTATTTATATATAATGTAATATTTTTCAGCCATAAAAAGGAAGCTAAGGACTAATACATGCTCTGTGGATGAAAGAAGCCAAACACAGTGGCGACATAGACTGTAGGAAATATTCTGAGTAGATAATGTATAGAGACCAAATGCTGATCGGTGTAGGAGGGGAGATGGAGTACTATAGTACTACAGTTTATAATATCGCAGGAAATGGGGAGTAAAACAAAATAAATTTCAGATTAGATTTTTTTTTTTGAGTTGGAGTCTCACTCTGTCACCCAGACTGGAGTACAGTGGCATGCTCCTGGCCACCGCAGCCTCGACCTGCTGGGCTCCGGCGATCCTTCCGCCTCAGCCTTCCAAGTAGCTGGAACTACAGGTGCACACTACAACGCCCGGCTGATTTTTTAATTTAATGTAGAGATGAGGTCTCGCCAAGTTGTCCAGGCGGGTCTTGAACCCGTGGGCTCAGGCAATCCACTCACCTTAGCCTCCCATCAGATTAGATTTTTAAATAATTGAAGTCATTCGAAAGAATTAGATCAGAAAGTCTGACAAATGAGATAACATGAAGGAAAAAATGGGAAATAAAAACAAATTATCATTAATCTACAGCTGAGTGTGGTGGCGTGTGCCTGTAATCCCAGCTATTTGGGAGGCTAAGGTACGAGGATCACTTGAGGTCAGGAGTTTGAATCCAGCTTGAGTAACATAGTGAGATCTCATCTCTTAAAAAAAAAACAATAACAAAAAAAGAATCCGATTCTATATAAATAAAATAACCCCCCCCAAAATAATCATTTAACCTGTTTCAGTCAGAGGCTAGAGTTTAATATCAAGATAAATTCAGATTTATTTACTAGACACAAAGCAGTGGCCCATGGGTTTTTTCAGATTAAGTTCAGAATTATTATCTTACATCTTTTGACAAGAACAAAGCAAAATATTAGTAACTGATTTAATTGAAGAGCTCAAACATAAGTTAATAAAATTAAGAAATAATGAGTTTCATATGTCTGAGTGAGGAATGCCTCACTCTTTTAGATGTTGAAAATAAGGCAGATGCACTTAAATATGGGACATTCTTTCATTCTTTTAAACTTAGAATTTCAGAAGCCAGGCTTAGTGGCTCAGCCTGTAATCCCAGTGCTTTGGGAAGCTGAGATGAGTGGATTGCCTGAGCCTGCGGGTTCGAGACCCGCCTGGGCAACTTGACGAGACCTCATCTCTACAATAAAATCAAAAAAATTAGCTGGGCATGGTAGCGCACGCCTGTAGTTCCAGCTCCTTGGAAAGTTGAGGTGGAAGGATCGCCGGAGCCCAGCAGGTTGAGGCTGCAATGGCCGGAAGCGAGCCACTGCACTCCAGTCTGGGGTGACAGAGTGAGACTCCAACTCAAAAAAAAAAAAAAAAAAATTTCAGAATATAAATCCTTGGAAAATCCAGTGTAGGGGAGAAACTGCAATTAGCTAAACTAATTTTAGTTACTTGAGTTCAGTGCAACAATAAAAAGACCAAAACATGAATGCAAATTATATCACGTACTTATTAGGTCATAGTACAAATCACTTATAAACTCTACAGGGAATTTTTGTTTATGTTGATTTTACTATTGGTGACTGATTTCTTTTTAAAAATTATTTGGTAGCTCCTTTGTCACATGAATTAGTAGTACTGATTTGTTAGTTTTGTCTTTGAGAAGATGGGATTATACCATGTCAGACAAAAAAATGCCTATTCTTGTCACAATCAGATTAACTTTTTTTTTTTTTTTTTTTTTTTTGAATCAGGATCTCACTGTGTTACCTAGGCTAGAATACAGGGGCATCATCACAACTTACCACAGCCTTGATCTCCTGGGCTCAGCTGAACTTTCAGTCTCAGCCTTGCAAGTAGCTGGGACTAGAGGCACATGCCACCACGTCCAGCCAAGTTTTTGTGTTTTGGGTAGAGACAGGATCGCACTGTGTTGCCCAAGCTGGTCTCGAACTTCTGGGCTCAAGTGATTTTCCACCTCAGCCTCTCAAAGTGCTGGAATTAAAGATGTGAGCCACTGCACCTGGCCTAACTCTCTTCTGTGATTGCAGATGATGAAAGCCATGAACAAATCCAATGAACATGTCCTGGCAGGAGGCGCCTGCTTCAATGAAAAGGCAGACTCTCATCTTGTATGTGTTCAAAATGATGATGGAAACTATCAGACCCAGGCTATCAGTATTCACAATCAGCCCAGAAAAGGTGAGCATTGAGCTGGTTGAGATTATGGTATTGGGAGTTTATGCTGAATACGTCAGTCCTGTAACACTCACTTTCTACATGGGTGACCACAAACAAATGAGCTTTTCAACCGTGTACTCCAGGATTGTGTTGACTCCCCTAGCAGCCAGACTCGGAGCTGCAGATGGAACTTCTGTTATTGTGGGAAACGTTTTGAAAATACTGCCTCAGGCTATTGATAGGGCCCTTGGTATTTGAGGGCAAGATTAGGCCCCATATTATACTTAGGTAGATTTGGAGCTTGCTGAATGATCATTCCCAAAGAATGTTAATTAATAGACTGATAGGCTACTGAAGGAAGGCAACTAGACTTAGTGTTACTTGGAATGTGGTCTCATGAAGAATCCACACATCAGAATTTGCGTTTTAATAAGATCCCTGTATGCTTCAAATGCACATTAGAGTATGAGAAGCACTCTGAAGATGGCATTACCCAGAGTGTTTCTTCAGGCTCTATAGTTTTAAAGAAATACTGTATTAAACAAGTTTAAATGGATTTCTTTACTACAGAAATTTTTTTTTTTTTAAGAGACAGGGTCTCACTCTGTCTCCAAGGCTGGAATGCAGTGGCATGATGGTGGCTCACTGTAGCCTCAACCTCCTGGGCTCAAGGGACCCTCTCACCTCAGCCACCTGAGCAGCTGGGACAGCTGCAGGCCAACATGCCCAGCTAATTTATTTTTATTTTTGTAGAGTCAGGATCTCAGTATGTTGCCCAGGCTTGTCTCAAACTCCTAGCCTCAAACGATACCTCCCAAAATTCAGGAATTACAGGCATGAGCCCCATGCCCAGTTTACAGGACTTTTTAGGCCCTTTAACAAGCTGAATGTATTCTGATTTTTCATCTAGCTATTCCCAAATGTATTTGACCACAAATCCTTTTTTTCCCTCAGAGTTTCTCCTCAAGTAGCCTTCTTATATAGTTTTGTGAAACACTTCCCTAGCAGACATACTGTAGGTCACTGTCTTCAATATATTTTAAAAATCAGGTATTAAGTAAAGGCACAAGAGGTATAAACTGGAAAAGAAGAAATTAGAAAAGAATGGATAATAGCTATCTCTATTTTTAAGATTTTTTTTTTATCACTGGAGCCTAGCAGGTTGAGGCTGCAGTGGCCAGGAGCAGCCACTGCACTCCAGTCTGGGCGACAGAGTGAGACTCCAACTCAAAAAAAATATATATTGTAGGGCCAGTGGGCAGGAGATTGGATTCCCTCAGTTCAGTTTACAACATGGAAAAATAAGGACAGTATAGTGAAGTGTTCATAAAGCTAAATGTAATTGATATTTTTTGTTTTGTGAAGAGTTTGTCTTTCAAATGGGTTTTTTTCTTTTTTTTTTTTGAGTTGGAGTCTCACTCTGTTGCCCAGACTGGGGTGCAGTGGCCGTTCCTGGGCACTGCAGCCTCGACCTGCTGGGCTCTGGCGATCCTTCTGCCTCAACCTTCCAAGTAGCTGGAACTACAGGTGTGCGCCACCATACCTGGCCAATTTTTTGATTTATTGTAGAGATGAGGTCTCGCCATGTTGCCTAGGCTGGTCTTGAACCCATGGTCTCAGGTAGTCCTCTTGCCTCTGCCTCCCAGAGTGCTGGAATTACAGATGTGAGCTACCACGCCAGTTGGTATCTTTTTTTCTGATTTTTTATTTTAAAGATGTGTACAATTCAGGGTTAGGTATACAAATGTTCATTATCTGAGTATTTTAAAACCTCTTTCCCTCATTGCTCAAAGTTATCATAGGCGTCAGAATTATTGTATATTATGGAATATAGATTTGAGGCTTTTAAAAATTTTCTGTATAATGATGGTTGGACTTCCCAACTGCTGAATTTCATTATTATTCCCAATCCTTCCATCTCAGGGTCTGTCTTCACTAAACTACTTCTGTTGCTGTTTCAGTGACTGGTGCCAGTTTCTTTGTGTTCAGTGGCGCGCTGAAATCCTCTTCGGGATACCTTGCCAAGTCCAGTATTGTGGAAGGTAAAGAATGAGTTGTTTACTGCATGTACGTTACTTCAGTCCTAATTACAGAACTAAAAAGGGAAGGGACATTGAGGGAATCTTTGACACTTCTAAAGTAGCTGTCTGACTCCCATCACTTACTCAGTAGTATCTTGTCAGCAGATTAAAACTGCCATGAGAGTGCTTATTTTTCCAAAGAAGGGAGTGAGTGGTAGGATTGCTATGGGATAGTGACAAAAATTAAGAGATGGTCTTTCAGAGTTCTGGATAAGGTACCTGAGGGACATAGTCTACGTTCAGATATATTACTGGGTGCAAATATGTAAATGTGCAGAATGAAGTTCAGTCCTAGCTACTCAGAAGGCTGAGGCAGGAGAATTGCTTGAGCCCAAGAGTTTGAGGCTACAGTGAGCTATGATCCCACCATTACACTCCAGCCTGAGTGACAGAGTGAGACCCTGCTTTTTAAAAAGTAAAAAGAAAGAAAGAAAAGAAAAATTAAACTGAAACAGATCCTTACAAATGCAAAGCATTATGTTTACAAGTTATGTTTCAATATGTCCATGTAATAAATACACATGTGTACCCCGAACCTGCAAACTTTTTTTTTTTTTTTGAGTTGGAGTCTCACTCAAACCGAGCCCGGCTAAATTTTTTTTAAATGCAAAAAAATATACAAGCAAGTCGGGCTCGGTGGCTCAGCCTGTAAATCCCGCGCCTTGGGAGGCTGAGGTGAGTGGATTGCCTGAACCCGCGGGTTCGAGACCAGCCTGGGCAGCGAGACCTCATCTCTACAATAAATCAAAAAAGTCAGCCGGGCATGGTAGTGCATGCCTGTAATTCCAGCTACTCAGAAGGCTGAGACGGAAGGATCGCCGGAGCCCAGCAGGTCGAAGCTGCAGTGGCCGGTAGCAGCCACTGCACTCCAGTCTCACTCCAGTGAGACTCAAAAAAAAAACTCAAAAAAAAAAAAAAAAATATATATATATATATATACAAGTTATGTGTTTATGTCTCTAGGTTGGGAATTTCTTGGGTCTTGTCTTTCACTCCATGTTTCAGTAGAGCAACTGGCTGCCTATTTATGAGATTCTTTTTTCTTTTGTTTTTTAGTTGGGGTCTCACTGTCACCCCAGGGTGAAGCACAGTAGCACAATCATGGCTCACTGCCGCCTTGTCCCAGGTTCAAGTAGTCCTTCTATCTCAGCCTCCTGAGGAGCTGGGACTACAGGCATACGCCACCATGCCAACTAATTTGTTATTTTTTTTTTTGTAGAGATGAGGGCTTGCTATGTTGCCCCGGCTGGTCTCAAACACTTGGGCTCAAGCAGTCCTTCTACTTCAGCCTTCCAAAGTGCTGGGATTACAGGCATGACCCACCACGCCTGACCTGTTTATGAAATTTTTATTGAAGCTCTTTAGAAATTATTTCAGCTGTCAAAATTGTGTCAGTGAAGATGGATAATTGCTCAGCATGTGACACCTTTTACCCTCAATTTCAGTGTTTGCCTTTGACTCAGGGAGGTAGCTGCTAAAAAGTGGTTACCACCTGTTAGCTGTATGGTAGTCCATATGAAACTCTGTGGCAGGTCTGCCGTATTGGTAGTTAATAAATGGATTTATCCCCAAGCCCACTACTGTAGTTTATGCAGTGATTTATTTAACAAGCATTTACTGGGCGTTTACTCTATGCCAGGCAATCATAGTGAGGTTAGAGAAATGGAGATGCAAACAAGTATGATCATAGCATGATAAATATGAGAGTAGAAATAGGAACAAAATGCTCTGTGAGTGCAGAGGAAGAATGTTACAGGTGTAAGTTTTCCCCTTGAGTAGTCAAGAGAAACTCTGAGATATGTCTGAAGTGAAATCACCAAGCAGATGTTTTAAAGCAGAACCCACCGTGGCATTTGCTCGTCACAACACTCAATAAGTAAGAGATTCAGCTTGAAAAACAAAACCTCTTTGTGTCTATCAGCTTTGCAGGACAGAGCAAAGTTTTATGTTTCACTCAGAAGGATTTGCTAGAGCCAGGTCCTATGTTTCTTCTGCCCCCCTCCCTGGCTTTGTGCTGTTTCCATCTGTGTTATCTTGGTGCTGATTCTTAGATGGCGTTATGGTCCAGATCACTGCAGAGAACATGGATTCCCTGAGGCAGGCGCTGCGAGAGATGAAGGACTTCACCATCACCTGTGGGAAGGCAGACGCAGAGGATCCCCAGGAGCACATCCACATCCAGTGGGTGGAAGATGACAAGAACGTTAACAAGGGGTAAATGTGGTGACTTCCCCTTGTGGCGTTTAGTTAGGGGCCAGCCTCTGGGTTTTGTCTGCTGTCTACACTGGTGTCTTAGAGTTTCGCTGAAAGTCTTGCCTAAGAGAAAAGACTGCTTTCTATGTATGATATAGGATTTAAAATTTCAGCTTTCTTAGCTTAATTTCTGAGGAAGCTGCTGTATTTATTTTTGAGGTGAGTATGGGGGGATTGATGGAACAAAACAGCCCCTCTAAAGTTATTGAGATGATAGTAATACCTAAGCCTTTTATGATTTATAACGCATGTGTGCTTACATTGTTTCATTTGATGTTAGAACAGGTGTTGTCTTTCCCATTTTACAAATGAATAAACAAGTACCAAAAGGCTAAATGACTTGTCAGGTCTACGAAGCTCAGAATGGCAGGGCTGGGACTTAGAACCACTTCTCCGCTCATCAAATCTTGTATCTTTGGTATGTGGCAGCCCTATTCTAATAGTTCATGCCATAGCCTTGGAGTCATCCTTGACACTTTTCTTTCACACTCCACACCTAATCCAACATAAACCCTGTTTGCACTACTTTAAAATATCCAGAAATAGCCAGGCTCGGTGGCTCAGCCTGTAATCCCATGCCTTGGGAGGCTGAGGTGAGTGAATTGCCTGAGTCCGTGGGTTCAAGACCCACCTGGGCAACTTGGCAAGACCTCATCTCTACAATAAATCAAAAATTAGCCGGGCGTGGTAGCACACGCCTGTAGTTCCAGCTACTTAGAAGGCTGAGGTGGAAGGATCGCCGGAGCCCAGTGGGTCGAGGCTGCGGTGGCCGGGAGCGGCCACTGCACTCCAGTCTGGGCGGCAGAGTGAGACTCCAACTCAAAAAAAATAAAATATCCAGAATTGCACTAATTCTCACCATCTCTACTGCTGCTTTTCTAGTTTAAGCCACCATATCATGTGGTCTGCATTACTGCAGGAGCCTTCTACTTGGTTTCCTTGTTTCTAATCTCCGTCTCCTCCTTTTCCCCAACCCAGTTTCCAAAACAACGGCCAAAGTGATGCTACTTCCTTCACTCAAAACCTACCAGTGGTTTCCAGTATCATTTGGGGTAAAAGCCCAAACATTTTATGACCTCAAAGTCCTACAAATCTGTGAACCCCTCTACCCACCCTCTCGCCCCTCAGAAGCAATACTGGCCTTCTTTGAACACATCAGCTGTGCTTCCGCCCCAGACCTTTATGCCTGCTGTTCCCTCAGCATGCTCTCCTCTCCGAGGTTGCCTCTGGAACCGCCCCCTCTCCACCTTCAAATCGTTTCCAAAATGTCACTTCCCAGGAAGGCCTTTCCTGGTCAACCTGAGTTGCAAACCTCTCATACACATTTCTCTCTCCCACTTCCAATAGCTCCTTCCCCGCTCCCTGCATTAAATTTCTTAATGACATATAACTATCTAATATATATTTTTACTTATTTATCTTATTATATTGCCCCTGGAATGTTAGCTCCATGAGGGCAGGGATTTTTGTCTGGTTTATTCACTGCTGTATCACCAGCACCTAAAACATTATCTGGCACATAGTAGGTGCTTATTGACTGATTATATGAATATATCATACTTCATTATTTTAAGCTTTCTTTCACTCATTCATCCATCTATTCATTTATTCCCCAGGCTATGAACATACAAAAATATGTCAGATCTCTCAATACAAAACTGAATTCTACATGGTCCCTGCTGACAAGTAGTTCAGTCTAGTTTTGAAGACAGTTATAAAGAAATAAATGCTTGAATTATGGAAGAGTCTGATAGATAACTATATACCATATAGTAAAGACAAAAAGAAAAAGAGCAGCTTTGTAGAGGTTATAGGGCATTATTCAAGAAAGACCTCTTAGAGAAATGGCTGGTGCTGGAGCTGAATTGGGTAAGATGAGTAGGTATTTGCTGTGTGGTTGTGACGGAGCAAGCATTCCAGTCTAGTGAAGAGCAGAAATAAAGCAGACAGGGCGTTCAGAACATGGCACATCAGATTTTTAGAAACTGTTTTTGATTTTCATTTTGAACAAAAAGAAATTTGTATTTATTAGAGTTGGAAATGGACATGGTTATTAGGACCAAAAAATGGATAATCTGAAAATCTGATGCCATGAGGTAGCAGTAACTGATCACAAGCATCTTGCCTCTTCCTGCAGCTGCAGCTACGAGTGGCAGTGTCTTAGAAAACAAGACAAGAGCCAGCCAGGGAGGACTCTTGACCTCAGGAGTTCAATCTGCAGTGCATAAAGGGAATGCTCTCCAGCTTGTCCCTGAGTGTCTGGGTGTCCCTCCTCAAAGGAGTCTAAGCAACTAAGGTTGCCGTTTCTTGGCATTGTTATTTGATAAGTTAAAAATTAAATTTATATTATTCAAATTTAACCCAAGTAAATGAAGTAAATGCCTGATACTAAAGTACAAGTTAAATTTGACTTTTAATACATAGAGACACAAGAACATAAACACATTTGAAAATTATTAGAAAGAGTTTGGAATCTTTTTGCCAGTCATTTTGAATTCTCATTAGCATGAATGTGTGGGCCGGGCTCGGGCTCAGCCTGTAATCCCGCGCCTTTGGGAGGCTGAGGTGAGTGGGTTACCTGAGCCCGCGGGTTCGAGACCCACCTGGGCAGCAAGACCTTATCCCTACCATAAATCAAAAAATCAGCCGGGCGTGGTAGTGCGTGCCTGTAATTCCTGCTACTCGGAAGGCTGAGGCGGAAGGATCGCCGGAGCCCAGCAGGTCGAGGCTGCGGTGGCCGGGAGCGGCCACTGCACTCCAGTCTGGGCGACAGAGTGAGACTCCAACTCAAAAAAGAATGAATGTGTGTCTGCCTGATATTTTATACAATGCTATTTCAGGGAGAAAATAACTATCAGAAGCGACCTTTCTAGTCAGGAAACTAGGAGTGATGATTTAGCACTGGAGGGATTTTTTTTTTAATGACAGATACATAGATACTTTTCAACAGTTCATACCAACACTGTCATAATCAACATACATGGTCAAATAATTCTTAGTAAACATTCATCAAACTCCCAAGTTTCAAGCAGTGGGTTCATACTGGGAATATAGCATACAGAGGCAAAATATAGTGTCTGCCCTCCTCTTCAGAAGTTTATTTGTAGTTAGATATGCAAACATGAAGAATAAGATAGATGAGTACTATCATAGAGTCAGGAAAAAAAGGGAAAACAAGATTGGGTGGTAGCCATGCATTCACTAAAAGAAGGAATGCTAGAAGGAGAGCAGGTTTGAGTAAACGATTTCTTTACATTAAAGAGAACCAGCTCCTGGGAAAATGACTCATTTTTGCATATATGGGTTATTTCTATGCATAGGCCCTTTTGCTGAGAGTTCTGTTCATGTACATTTTTGTGCAATGGTGTCTTATTGCTGTCATGTGCTGCACAGAAGTTTTCAGTAAGGCACCCAGTGTAATTAGTAGCAAGACTTCTGCAGCAAAACTTGGTGAGAAATATGACTCCTCTAACTTCAAGAGCTGCTTCTCTCTCTTTCCTTTGCCTCTATTTTAGTGTTGTAAGCCCTATAGATGGGAAATCCATGGAGACTATAACAAATGTGAAGATATTCCATGGGTCAGAATATAAAGCAAATGGAAAAGTCATCAGATGGACAGAGGTAAGGAAATGAAACTTGGCATTTTGATCCACTTTGAGCACAACTCTGTGCTAGGCCAAGTGCCACATTCTGAGCAGATTCTGGAGGATAAGAAAAACATCTCTCCATTGACCTTCTCTGTACTCCAAGTCCCTCTGGTCTTAGATCATGGGGAAGAAATGTTACCAGTTGCAGCCTGCAGCAGTCTGTCGTACCTTCTTCCGATGAATGAGCTTTTTAGAGACTTATTTGCATTGGAATTCAAGAAGGGTGCATCTCTGAGTGGTTCATGCCATTTTTTCTGTATTCTTCAGAAAACTGGGTCAGTTATTCTGCACTTAGAGTTAAAACTATCTCAAGTAACACAGTCTTTAAAAAATAGACCATTTTACCAATAAGAAAAGTAGCAGCCAGGTGCAGTGGCTCACACCTGTAATCCCAGCACTTTGGGAGGCCAAGGTAGGAGAATCACTGGAGGCCAAGTGTTCAAGACCAGCTTGGGCAACATAGTGAGACCCCCATCTCTACAAAAAATTTCAGAAACTATCCAGGCATGGTGATGTGTCCTAGCTAATGGAGAGGATGAGGTGGAAGGATCACTTGAGCCCAAGAGGTCAAGGCTGCAGTGAGCCAAGATGGCACCACTGCACTCCAGTCTGGGCAACAGAACAAGAAAAAAAGAAAAACTAAAGCTCAGAGACTACAAGATAACTTGTCCAGGACTACAAGATAAATAACTAATGGAAAAATTGTGATTCAAATTCAGATCCAGCCAACTCCTAAGCTCTTCTTCACTGTATTAAGTTGCTCTGTAACTTGAAAGCTCTATTGATCTCAAACCAGGTGAAGTGGGGACCAAAGGGAGGCCCAAACTTTACCCATGCAATGACTACTTGTACACCTAATCCTGAATCACACCCCACATCTTTAAATTAAAAAAAAATGCTCAGGCCAGGTTCGGTGGCTCAGCCTGTAATCCCAGCACTTTGGGAGGCCGAGGTGAGTCGATCAGCTGAGCCCGCAGGTTCAAGACCAGCCTGGGCAACTTAGTGAGAATTTGTCTCTATCGTAAGTCAAAAAATTAGCTGGGCATGGTAGCGCACGCCTATACTTCCGGCTACTTGATAGGCTGAGGGCCGAAGGATCCCCAGAACCCAGCAGTTCGACGCTGGAGTGACCGTAAACATGCCACTGCACTCCAGCCTGGGCGACGGAGTGAGACTCCAACTAAAAAAAAAAAAAAAAAAGAAGTCCTTTGATAGGGACTTGCCCATGACTTTCCTGTTACCAGGACCTGGGTCTCTCAGTTCCAGGTTGACTACGCTTCTGCCTGTGCACAGTGCAGTGCTTGGCTCTGTGGAAGCACACTGACACAGCTGTGACCTCTGCAGTGGCTGGGGCATGTGGGGGAAAAGCTGTGTCCACAATAAAAGGCAAAAGACTCAGATTCTAGGCTTGGCTCTGCTTCTGTCCCTTAAATACTTCTAAGCGAGTTACTTCCCTTCTCTGAATAATCTGTAAAATGAAGGTCTGGGTTACATTATCTCTAAAGGCCATTCTCTTAGGCTTAAGGTCAGTTTCTAAGAAAACTGTCCACATATAGGGATTACCTTTTAGAAGCACACAGTGCAAAATGGTGGCCTTTTCTGGTTCTGAGAAGGTGCTGTTTCAACCATGTAGTGGCTAATTAGGAGAGAGGCAGGCTGCTGCTGTGATGTTGTGGGACATAGCAGAGACTGCGAGACAGGGATTGTTTCTTAGATGTGAGGCATCAGCGCCCTGCTTTTCCTGGTCCAAGAACTTTATGGTGTCCTGGTTGTGTCAGGTACTCTTGCACGTCTTGTTGGATGCTTGCAAACGGTGAGCGAATCCACTTGCTTCTTCCAAAATCTAGGCACAAGGTTAAAAGTCTCTTTTGTTTGGGGAACAGGTGTTTTTCCTAGAAAATGACGACCAGCACAATTCCCTCAGTGATCCTGCAGATCACAGCAGATTGACGGAGCATGTTGCCAAGGCTTTCTGCCTTGCTCTCTGTCCCCACCTGAAGCTTCTGAAGGAAGATGGAATGACTAAACTGGGACTACGTGTGACACTCGATTCAGATCAGGTAAGAGTCTCAGGCAGCTTTTGAAGCTGGCCCCGGGCAGTGACTCTGCTTTACTGACTTGTGTGTTTTCCTGCATCAGCGCCGAGAGCTACATTCTCCTGAGCAGACCAAGCATTCTGGCCTTCCCCCTAATAGCAATATACCAAGGTGTGCTGCTTGGTCGGCCTCTCAAAACTACTGAGCTGTGGCTTCTGCATCTGCATGTCTCCCAGGGAACTCAGGGGACTCATTTCCTTCTAAGTGTGGAGTGAGGAGGGAAGCGTGTGGAGGACCTGCCGCCCCTGTGACTGGCGTCTCTGCTACCTTTTGAGCCCCACCCCCCAGTCCCGTCAGGAATCATTCGGCATTCCCATGGAGGCAGATCCCACACTGCCCCATCCTGTTGTTTTTAAATCTGACTAGAGCAGATATGTGCTGATTGGCCCCTGCAGCTCCCACGTCTTCATAAGGTTTTTCCTACTGTTAACATTTTCATGCTAGTTGATAGGGCTTGAGCTATTGCCCGTTAATTTTCTTGTTAATGCTTCTCTCTGTCATACGTGCATTTTAATATGCTCTTTGTAGTAACAATTTTGTTGTAGTGCCCCAGCCCCCAGTTCCTTGTCCAGTGTTTCTCTTCCAGTACTTGACTCTCTACATTTCTTTTGGATTTTGGATGCCTGCAGCGTGTCTCACTCACCGGCCCTGCCTCAATGCCTGCAAACTGTCAGACTCCTCTACGCCCCCACCACGTTAGCCATGCGCCATTTAGAAGATGGGTGCAGATGTTCAGCATGACCACCCCTCCCAGCTAATAGGAATTCTGCTCAACAAGTTGCTCCTGGCCGGAGTGCTTATGGGGAAAAACTGGTCCCCTGAGCACAGGGTTGTGCCATGATGAGGAAATGAAAAGAGTGTGTCTGGTTCCAATTCCTGATTAGTCATCAATCAACAAATACTTATTTTCCCCTTGAAGTCCTGCCCAGCGCTGTTCTAAGCATATCAGGGTAAAGCATATCATGAAGTGAGTGCCATGGTCCTGTCTCACGTGGCACTAATCTGGCTGAAGAGTTACCTCACAACACAAATAGACACTTTCCCTTAAATGTGTGAGTCTCATGAGGGCAGGGCCCTGTTGCATTCCTTTGGATCCCTGTGCCTGTAGGTGCTCAGAAGATGGTGCATGGATGGACACACGGGTGAACCCAGTTCTGCTGTATTGAGAAGATGCACGTGTATAGTTCTCATTTCAGTTTTTCACAACCAATGGGTAAGGTATTATTTCGGACACTCCATATCTTTCTAAGTAAGGAGTGTCCGAACTAATGCATACCCTCTCCCCTGGCTGCTTTTTTTTTTTTTTTTTTTGGTTGGGGGTT